ATGAGTATGATGAGGAGGTGTGAGTCCTCATTGATGTGCTTGGTGTTGTAACCAAGGGTTATGGTAACTATAACTGCTGCATGCTAAGGATATTAGTTGATTTTATGATATTGCTTAATACATACTGTTTTCTATTTTGAGTTGGCCGATGATATCTACTCAGTACCCGTGTTTTGTACTGACCCCTACTTTTATGTTTTTCTTCTTGTTATTTGTGGAGTGCATTAAACGTGCCGTCACCTTCGACTCAACAGTAACTCAAGCCAGTCTTCGTCATACCGGATCTTCAGGGTGAGCTAACGCTTCTAGGTTGGACTGGATCTTCTCCTTCATGTCTTGATGCCTTGAAATCCCCGGCATGGACTAGCTTCTTATGTATTTTTAACTTTTAGGATACTCTTAGTTTAGTCATTTGATCGTAGATGTTCTTGTGATGATGACTACCAGGTTTTGGGAATAATAGATGTTGAATATTGATAGTTATTGAATTGGTTTTTATTAATGAGTTTAAGTCTTCCGCATTATTTTCTGTTGATGTTACATTGAAATGTTAAGGTTTAGATTGGTTGGTTCGCTCACATAGGAGGTTAAGTGTGGGTGCCAGTCGCGGCCCGGATTTGGGTCGTACAAGAATACTCTTAGTGTAGTAATGTAATCATAGATGTTCTTGTGGTGATGACTTCCAGATTTTGGGGATAATAATAGTTGTTGAGTTTTTAGAAGTTATTGAATTGGTTTTTGTTAATGAGTTTAAGTCTTCCGCATTACTTTTTGTTGATATTATATTGAAATGTTAAGGTTTAGATTGGTTGGTTAGCTCACATAGGAGGGTAAGTGTGGGTGCCAGTCGCGACCCGATTTGGGTCGTGACATAAGTGATATGAGTGAAACATATACAGAACTTTTTGAACAAATAAATTACCCAAATGATTAAGAAATAAATACAGGAGATGTTAAAATGGATGACAAACCAGGTACATCAGGAGTTAAAAACCCAAGAAGTAGTCCAAGAAGAACAACACCCACTTATTACACTTACGAACAATCGGATAGATCACATACCCAATGGCACAATAGACTAAATAAAAAATGGACACCTAAACCAATAACAGAACAACATAATTTCTTAAATTTAGATTGTGTTACAGATACTAATAAAACAATCCAATTATTAATAGGATACATATAAAAACTATTAATTGACAAAAAAAAAAGCAATCAACGAAACACCAGGCTATATAGAAAGAATACTAATAGGAGCAACAAAATTATGGATCTAAAATATATCTAAGTAAAGTTTAAAAATGCTCAAAAGTAATAAAAAATTTGATGGAACTATAGCAACCACAAATGTGGATATACTAGCTAAATATGAAATACCTATTAGAAACGAATTCAGTAGTATGGCCATAGAAATAGAAGAACAAAATAAAGGAAAATTAACCAACATACTTCTTATGACAAAATCAGCTATATGCAATATGTGTTATCTTGATGAATATACATGTGCATTTAAGGAACATTATCACAAAGGAAAATACGATATAAACGAAAGTAAGGATATATGAAAGTTATATTTCTCAAACCTACCAAAACCTTTTGGTTACAAAATAATTATAGATTGGAATAATGAAGGAGTAAAAGATAGCCTAGGAGCAAGAATAAAATTCTTACCACATTGGTTCATACAACTATGTGAAAGACACAAAACCGAAATAAAAATGGAAAAAGTATTACTCAAAAACTTAAAATGCTACAAAAATAAAACAGCCCCACAATTTGGATGTACAGGAAAATTTTATAAAAAACGATGACATAGACGATATAAAAAATATGGAACTAAATATAAATACAGGAAACCACGCCAAAGATATTATGTAAAGAATTATAAAACAAAGGACCATATAAGCCAAAAAAAACCATCAGAATGTACCTGTTACAACTGTGGAAAGCTAGGACACATTGCTAAATATTGCAGACTACCATGAAATCCAACGAAAAAAGAAATAGAAGAAATATTAATAGACAATGAAGAATACATGCAATTAGATTACTTATACTATGAATTAAATGAAAATGACAGCATATACGAACTATCAGACAACGACCTAAGCTTAGAAATAGATGAAGAAATAACCGAAGAAGAAATCTAATGTCTGAAGAAGATATACGAATAATATCAAAAGAAAATTATCAAAACGAAGAATCAACAGAAAAAAAATCATATTTGATAGTACAATATTTGAACAAATAAAAGGAGAAGAACTAGACGTAAGTGTCGAAAAAGTACTTAAGATACCAACCATAAGAAATTTGTTCAGAAAGCAAAAAGTTGAATACTATATAGTTAGTAAAAAAAACATCATAGATTGTAAATATATAAAAGGAAAGACAGAAATATCAATAATAAATAAAAGAATAATAAACAAGCAAATACAGGATATAAAAACCAAGACACCAATAAAATATGTGCATTTAGGAGGAATAAAAATATTAATAAAAACATATTTTGGAGAAGGACTAGATACTCTTATTGAAATATACCTAGCAGACGATAGGATTATACAACCTATATAAAAAAGCATAATCAGTGCAGTTAAAGGAAACATAATATACCAAAAATTTAAATTCATAATAAGTGCTAACTATTCAGTAGCACTAACAGACCGAAATATAGATACATCATCAAGAATAAGTACATCTAAAGGAAACTATATACTCCCACAAAACTTACTATTAAACACAGACGAAATAACACCATACCATTAGTACATAACCGGAATAATGGACCAAAGAAAATACCAAATCTTAATAAATACAGGACAAGAAGAAAATTATATAACAAGAGAATTAATACCAGAAATAGAAATCATTAAAACAGGACATTGCCCTGAACTACCTAGAGAAATAAGAACAAATGAGGAATTGACAGAAAAGAAAATAATTATAGGAGGAATACCCTTAATAGTTCAATTTAAAATTTACCAAGGAAATCAAAACATTACCTTAGGGATAAAGTGGCTAGAGAAATTTAAACCATATAATAGAGAAAATTACCGATTAACTATAACTTATAAAAATAAGAAGATAATTATAAAAAGAACAAAATGAATAATGAAAATCTATATAGTTGCAAAGATTATTGTAGAAGGATATTACAATAGATATTATACACCAATGATAGATACATGAGCAGAAACAAAAATATGTAAGTATAACTGTTTACCAGAAGATAAATTGGGAAAAATTAAAAACACCTATGGTGGTAAAAGGATTATATAATGAAGGAAGTATGATTACGTATAAAACAAAAAATTTCAAAATACAAATATGGGATAAAATACTAACAATAGGGGAAATCTATAATTTTGAGTTCACAACAAAAGATATGTTATTAAGAATACCTTTCTTAGATAAATTGTACCAACATATCATAACAAGAACACACTGGTGGTTTACCACACAATGCAAACATAAAGTAGGAGCAAAAAGAGTAAATAACAAACGATGTAGATCCAAAGAATTGATCAAATGATGTGAAAAAATTACGCAAAAATTGGAAAATACAAGTAAAAACCAAACCACACAGTTAAATATTATTATCTTTGCAATAGATAAAGTTAAAGAAATACAAAACAAGCTAGAATGACTGTACAGTGAAAACCCACTACAAAGATGGGAAAAACATAAATTAAAAATAAAAATAAAGTTAATTGATGAAACTAGGTTAATAACACAAAAATCCTTAAAATACAATGCTAAAGATTTAAAAGAATTTAAGATGCATATAAATGAACTACTAAATAATAAATACATACAAGAAAGCAATAGCATACACACAAGCCCAAAATTTATTGTAAACAAAAATAGTGAACAAAAATGAGGTAAAAGTAGGTTGGTCATAGATTATCGTAATCTAAATGCAAAAACTATAACATATAACTACCCAATACCTAACAAAAGATTAAAAATTAGACAAATCCAAGGATAATTACTTCAGTAAATTTGAATGCAAATCAGGATTTTACCATCAAAAACTAGAAGAAGAATATAAAGAATTAACGGCATTTACTGTACCACAAGGATTTTATGAATGAAATGTTCTTCTGTTTGGATATAAAAATGCACGAGGTAGATACCAAAAATTTATAGACAATTACATTAATCAATTAGAAAATTGCTTTTTTCGATATAGATGATATATTGTTATATTAGAAAACACAAGATGAACATGTCAGATTATAAGAAAAATTTATACACATAATTAAACATTCTGGCATAAGACTGAGTGTAATTAAAAATAGAAATTATGAAACCTCAGATAGAATTTCTAGGAATACAAATAGATAAAAATTGGGTAAAAATGCAAACCCATATAGTACAGAAAATAATCATAGTTGATAAAAATATAGATACAAAAAAGAAATCACAATCCTTTCTAGTATAAGTAAACCAAGTGAGGAAATACATACAAAAATTAGCAGAATATTTAAAAGCATAACAAAAAAAAACTTAAAAAAGATGTCGAATATTATTTTTGAAAATAGAGATAAAAAACATATAAGTCATATAATAAACTTATGCAAAAAACTACTGAAACTATATTTTCCAGATGGAAATAAATTATTTACTTGTATTGTTGAAACGATTCGAGCAATTACAGTTATGGAGGAATCCTAAAATATAAATATGACAAAGAAAAAATAAAACACCATTGTAGATATTATTCAGAATCCTATACAGAAGCACAATTAAAATGATAAATAAATAGAAAAGAATTATTTGAATTATATAAATGTTTATTAGCATTTCAACCATATATTGTTGACAATAAATTTATTGTGAGAACAGACAATACACAGGTAAAATTGTGGAAAACAAAAAAGGTACAAGATTCAATTACAACAAAAGAAATAAGGAGATTAGTATTGAATATATTAAATTTAACATTTACAATTGAAGTAATCAAGACTGACACAAATCTCATTGCATATTATCTCTCCAGAGAAAAATAATATAGATACATTGGAAAAAATACTAGCTACCATGACAACATTTTGTCAGAAAATGGAGAAAATAGAAAGCGAAGTACAGATGCTAAAAAAGACAGCTAATAGTCAGCAGCATGACTTTAAACATGTGGAGCTAAGTCACCAGGATGACTCTAAACATGCAGAGCTAGAAGGTGACGTTGGGAAACACCTTAAAACCCATAACAAAATGTTAAATATAACTGCAGGTAGCACATCTACAGGAGGACCAACTACAAAAAAAGAAGATGGTAAGACAAAACATACAAATACCAATATGAATAAACTATTCTGCAGACTATACCTTCAAGAATACACCCAAAAAGATATATTTATCCCCCTTAAGTAAAATCCTACAAAAGCAGTTTGGATTCACACAAACAAATATATAACCATATCACGAGGACGTATATAGAAAATATAGACAAAATCCAAACCTTTTTGAATCTAAACCCAAGTGCTAAAAATACCCAAAATCCAAATGAAGATTATATAACCCAACACTTACAGGGATATAATAAACTCATAGCAAAACCATGTACCAATTCAATTCTAGTAGCAACTTGCTACAATTATGGATTTTTAAGTACTGTATACACGATAATAGGTGAAGAAATAGCTAAGATACCAGAACTATACAAAGCATTTCTAAATTACAAAAGAATAACTAAAGGAAATTTATTTTATATTAAAATTTACTCTGCAACTGCGGAAATATTATACGACGAAATCAAACCTATAATACAAGTTATCAAAATAGGTTTGACCAAAGAAATGATAATCCCGGAGAAAATAGAAATACAAGAAGAAATACAAAGGGTAAATATCCCAGAATTCTATGCAAATAAAAGAAATATTGGGTTAGCTACCATTTTCAATGAATTATCAAATAATTATCTAAAAAGATATTCATTTTGGAGCTACTACAATCGAGATCAGACGATGATATATTCCAATTGCAGAGAGCTAAAAACAGTAGATATGGAAGAAATACGCCAATGGATACTAAGCCTGCTGAAACAAGAGCCGCTACCTATCACAAGAGCTATCAGAAAAAATTTCATTTCACAAAATATGATGACTAGATACTGTAAATTAATAGGCCAAAAGTACCCAGATCATACATGCACAAAATGTGACGGAGAAGACAACTACATTCCAGAAGTATAGTTGGAAAAATAAAAGCAGAAACAACCAATAACTAGGAGACAAAGAAATTATGTAATGTTATAAATAGTATGTCAGGCATTATGTAAATGTAAAGGCCATTATGAAAAGTTATAAATAGAATGTCAGGCCATATGTAAAAGTATAGACCATTATGTAAAGTTATAAATAGTATGTCAGGCCATATGTAAAAGTAAAGGCCATTAAGTAAAGTTATAAATAGTATGTAAGGCCATATGAAAAAGTAAATGCCATTATGTAAAGTTATAAATAGTATATCAGGCCATATGTAAAAGTAATGTCCGTTATGTAGCCATTATGTAAACTTGTTTTGTATGTATAGAGTACTTCTTGTCATTAATAAAGACAGGGACTCTACCTCATCCTCTCTTCTCTCTCTCTTAATTCAACACACCCCTTTTTTTTGGAGCTTGGCCCTTCCCATTTTTCTTTCATTCTTTCGCTTTTACTTTCTGCTTGAAGTGTGATAATTGATCGGGTCGACACCCTTATTGAAGTTAGAAAACTTGTATGCTGCCACAATTGCAAAACTGAGAGTTTTAACATTCTGTCTTTTTAACTCTTTTTGTGCCCATGATTGCAACCTGCTTATGAAATTGTGCTACTTGTCCTCCTTAACAACGTTTCCTATGTTCAACGTCAAGGAGAATGTTCCTTCATATAAGCCCTGACTATACTGCTTTGGTTCATGCGTCAAAGCCACTCCCTTTCAAACAAAGACTAATTTACTTGGAAGGAATTGATTTTTCAATTCTTTATTTAACATTTTCCACATTCGAATCTGCGGAAATTTTGAAACTTTGTTCTTAACCAAACCGTGGCATCATTACTCAAATACATTTTTGTGACTTGATCCCTTTTCCGCATCTTGAACCTTTGTTTCCATGAAGTAATTTTAGATATGTCAAAGTTCTCCAATTCCATGACTTTTCTCATACCATTGTAATCCTTAGATTTTTGAGCCTTCATTTTTAAGGTTCCAGTTGTTTGTTGCAATGCCAGACGTAGAAGAAGAACTTCACCCCGCAAGTCTTCCTTCTCCCTGCGAAAGAATTCCATTTCTTGTTGGGCAGTATTGTGTTTGGCTGCATATTCTGCCTCAAACATCAACATTTTTTTATTCAAGACTTCTTTTTTCAAGGGTAATTCTACTTCCACTCTTTGAATTTGAGTGGCCAGATCAACCAACTCCTTCCCATTGTTTTTTCAACAAATAAGCTCTTCCAATCATGTCACCCTCTTCCGTAGTTCAGCATTTCCCCTATCCATCGAATAATCTTAGCAACGATCTAATATAAATTGTTAGACGGGCTGACTAGTCCACCTTAATTTCATGCTAGAAGTTAGCCCAACCTAATTGTAGTCAAGTCTCACTCAACTCAGCCACTTTGGCAACCTAATTGCCTTACGGTAAATGACGTTTCCCTTTTCTATGGCTTCGAATATTTTTCATCCTTGAATAGAAAATAATCATATAAACATATGAGCAAACCCAAACTCTATATTTACAATCAAAACAATAAAAAGGACTCACTAGTTGAACAATAATTTTGTCCAACTTCGAAATCGACTTTGACTTAAGGCACAATCACAAGTCCATTCCTGCCTTAGACACTTCATAAAACCCTCACGTATTACTCTAAGCTTCTTTTTAAAACTCCATACTTTAATATTCCCTTTTTCATTTTAGGATAAAAGTTCTATCTTTTCTTACTTAGCTAAATTAGTCCAACGCCAAGGCTATAAATTTATAGACCATATGGCAGGCTTTTGTTTTACATTGCCTAGTGTTGTCACACATATATAAACATTTTCAAATTCATAGACCACTAAAATATAATTCATTTATATGACAAAATTATCAGAAACATTCAAAATTCGAATTCAAAATGCATACAAGCAATACAACGAATGTGGACACAAGCTGTTACAAAAAGTTAGCTGCCGCATGTGCTTGGCATATGACTTGGCTAACTGGATTTCCTCCCTTTTTGCACTTTCCTTCAATATTTCTGAATCTAATACAATTTATTGCTACTTAAATGTCATTTTCTCAAAAAAATGCACCCGAATCCATCCGCACATTTTCCATGTCTGTGTATCACAGATGCCTTGTTGCTGCCTGCCGTTGCCTTACTTTGACCATGTGCATTATTAATCCTTCCATTTTTTCTTTCTTTCTAAGTTTAATTGACAATTGACAATGCTTCTATTCAGCTAAAATTAATTTTCCCGCATTTGACTAGATTATGTATTTTTGCATGCCAACTTTGTCCACAACCAATGTCGGCCACCGCTCAAGTAATGTCATAGGTTGTTTTCTTGGCAACACCCATGTCATGTCTTTAAACTGTCCTACAAACATATTTTGAAGCCATTTGAGGATAATAACACTCTTATCACACAAACCATATTTGATTCTATCCACATTTTGGCCTTTGGCAAAGACATTCATGTCAACCCTTTGCAACACCCATGCCTACGTCGAGTCATTTGGTCAGGACCCTTAAAGTTTCCCTAGTTCTTCCAAGATAATTATCTGAAGTCTTAAAAATGTGAATGTCTCTTATGTGTCGTAGTAACTATTTATTGACTTAGGCTAATGCATGTGAATAAAAAGTTACTTCTCTAGAGTAGCTTTATGTATTGCGTTGGTAGGCTTGAAGATTGTGTATGATAGATCTCTTCAAATCTTACTTAGCTGTGTATTAATATTATTCTATGTATGGAGTCTAATTATTATATGGGAATAACCTTAATTTAGGAAACCTTGAGGATAACTTAGATTTGTGTGAATGGGTTGTATGGGGGGCCACTTCATATCTTACTTAAGTGAGTCTTAGGAGGACCTTTGGTAGTAGATATATGGTTGTAAGTGAAATTGATGCAATATTGTGGATTACTTAGAATATGTTCTATATGCATGTATCTGTACTTGTATCTAATTCTTATCCTTCTTTGAAATTTTCTTGAAAAGATCATGACTAAATATAAGTCAAATTTCATTTTAGCATGGTTTTAATTGCATGTCATCATACTTACTGCATTCTAATGTTCTAATTCCATATATTGTCTTATCTCTAAAGGTGTAGTGACATTTGACAGGAGCCATTTGAATTCAAGTTTTGAATTAGCATCCATTAAAGCAAGTTGTGGTATCTCCTCAATTTATTCCAGGACATAGTCTTTTTAAGCTTTTACAATTATAAGACATTGTAGTATACTTTGATATTACTAGTTTTGTCGATGTATGGATTGTGACTGAAGATATTTCATTGTCTAAGATGGCTACAAGAAGACTTAGCATTTGTATGTTTCAATAAAAGAGATGTTAAAGTATTATTTGATTGTTGTGAAATGTTTTTATTATGCACTACTTTGCATACATATATGCAATGAATGATGTCCAAGGGATTTTACAAGACCTCAGAGAGGTCGAGTACTTCATGTCCCGACTTGAATGAAGACCTTTCTTGTAGAGTGTACTCTGGGGTTGTGAGAAACTTTGTATTAGTTCATAGGTTATGAAGTATTCATTAGGAACAAAAGTTTGATTGAATCAACATCTAGTATAGTCATTTTCATCGGTGTGAGTCACGACATATCTATGAGCGAGATTCTATAGGACGATAGAGTTTTGCTTTCTTCATCCCTCTTGTGTTGTTCCATAGACTTTAGGTTATAAATGTCTTTTCATAATCTCTTTTCTTATAATTATAGGATATAATTTCAATAAGAATGGATTTTAGAACATTGGAAGAGGAAGGGGTGAATGAGTAAGTTCCTCCCCAAGGTTTCCAACTTTCTCTCCTAGTTGGCAAGGCCCCTATATTTTGTGAGGGAAATTGGGTTACGGTGGTTCCCCCAAACATATATAATAGGGCGATTAAATAGGATGTTCTTGTCTTAGCCTGAGATGTGACAACTAATGTCAATAGGGATGTTAAGCCTAGGGTGAATGCTTTGGAGAGTAATATGACCTCTAGGTTGAGGGACTTTGTGAATATGAATCCTCCTATCTACCTTGGCTCTATTGTGGGAGATGATTCCCTAGAGTTTCTAGATGGTGTGTATAAGATAGTGCATTCTATGGGAGTGACTTCTATGTAGAAGATAGAGTTAGATTCGTACCGATTGAAAGAGGTTTCTCAAGTATTGTACACTCAATTGAATTAAAATAGGCTGGTTAAGTCGGATCCTATAGAGTGGGAATAGTTTAAGGAGGCATTCTTAGCAAAGTAGTTTCCCCGATAAAGGAGTGAGGTGAAGGTTTAAGAGTTCATTAACATTAGACAAGGTAAGATGAATGTTGAAGAATATTCTTTAAAGTTTTCCCTATTGTCTAAGTAGAATCCGTCCTGAATGTCAAACCCTAGGGATGTGATGAGTAGGTTTGTGATTGATGTTTCGGATATTGTGAAGGAAGAGTGACGTACGACAATGCTCCATGGTTATATTACTCTATGTACGCTTATGGTGTATACTCAATCCATTAAAGAGTCTAAACATGGAAGGAGGAGTGGAGATTCTAAGAGGGGAAGAATCGATGAGCAAGTTCAACCTACGTTTACGAATAGGGCTCCAACTCATGATTGTTCAAGTGTACCTAAGACCAACTGTGCTAGAGATTGTGGTTCTCGAAGTGTTAAGCCTACTTTTTCTAGTTGGTGGAAGAAGCACTTTGGGAAGTGTTTAGTCGGTGCCGGAGGTTTCTTTGGTTGTGTTAAGGATGATCATAAGGTGAGTGATTGTCTAACTATTTTTGATAGGGGAATAGAGGCTAAGAAATCTCCTCCTAATTCTACAAATGGTGGTTTTTCGAAGAGGAATCAATTCTATGTTCTCAAAGCTAAGGCAAATTCGAGTGATGATGCCACTAATTTATAGTTTTCTCTCTATAGTTGTGATGGGTTCCTTCTAAGTGGGGGATCATGGTGAGTAGTTGGGTGCTGATTTGTTGTCTCTTCTCTTCTCTTCTATTC